TGCTGGCTGTCCAGTGGCACTCTGGGTATTTTTGTCCTCAAGCCTGTCACTCATCTCTGTCTCCACTTCCCTTCGTCCTTGGGGACCCCTCTGCGCTGTCCTCTGCAGGTCCGTGGACTCTCTGTTTGAAGAGCTCGTTGTCTCCGGCTTTCTAAGGAAGTGCGAGACAGTGGCCTTGAAAGATTACATTGGTGAGACCCCTGTCCAGCACCTGTTCCCAGGCTGAGGAGTGGTGCCCTGGCCACGGCCCTCCCATGGCTAGCTACCACCCTCTGCTGTGAGCCTTCTCCTCAAGGGGCTCTCTTTTGGCCCTGCCCCAGCGGATGCCACTCACTTATGCCCCCAGGTGACTACCTCTATCTTGGATCCATTCTGAACCTGGCGAACAAGTTGCCTACACCTTCCCTGTTTGACATAAGACAGAATGTGGCCTTGTATGGGGTCCTTCGCCTTGGTGAGATGCCCCGGGGAGCAGGGAGAACCAACACTGGCAGGTGCCTGTCAGGGTGGTTGAGGTGGGCATGTTGCCCATGCCATGGACCCCTGCTGGACTCCTCCTGTCTTCCCCAGGCCCTGCCAGAGGTCACACCCAGATTGGGCCACCCCAGAAATCACGTGGACTCTTGGCCTACCAAGGAATCCACTTTTCTGGCCCCTTTCCCAACCCCAAGTGATATCCCATAGTCTGTCCCCTTCCCAGAAGACCAGGATCTTTCTGAAGCGGTTGTTCCTAGGCCCTTTAATTCTACTCCTTCATGATCCAGAAGTAGAAAGAGATGGTACAGAAAACAGAAAGGGCATTGGAAGGGGCTAGAAGGCTCCCTCTTGACCCTGCAGAGAACTCTTCATAATTGTACCTGGGAAGTCCCCGGAAGCCCCCCAGGCTGCCTCTCTCAGCATGCCTGCCTGGGAATGGGGCCCCCCACACTGTGGGTCGGCAGGCACCTAGGATCCAAACTTCATCCCACCCTGCCTTGGGCCTTTGGCCTCACCTTACACTGTGGCTTCCACCCGAGCCCCCCTACTGTCCTACTGCCTGCCTCTGGCCCCTGTTTCCTCTCTCAGGCTCCCCAGATATACACTCCATGGCCCCCTTCATCCGCTCCATCCTCCTGGTGGGCCCCTCTGGAATGGGGAAGAAGATGCTGGTCAAGGCCGTGTGCACAGAAACAGGCGCCAACTTCTTTGACCTGTCCCCCAGCAACCTGCAGGGCAAATATCCTGGCAAGACGGGGACACAGATGATCGTGCATATCATCTTTAAGGTCCGGGTCCCCTGACTTCGGCACCTCTAGTTCTCGGGCTGTGCCCACAGGGCAGGGTGCGTTTTACACAGGAGATCCCTCATCTGCCTATTTGGTGTGATGTCAGGAGCTGCTGAGGTCTCCTTACCAGCCTCTGGGAGAACCTTGTGGATTTCTGAAACCTTGTGGATGGGGAGCATGGCGGGAAGTGGGGAGCAGAGCAGTTTCTTTCATGATAGGTTTTCTGAGGTTTAATACGCAGGGTCCCGATGTGGCGGGGCGGGGGCGCGACTCTGTTCCCAGGGAGGTGTGGTGGATGGCAGCAGGCTGAGAGGTGGGGTGGACGCTGCGTGGGAAGTGGGGACCAGAGCTCCAAGGTCAGCTCTTGGACCAGAAGCGGGAGGTGACCCTTGCCCAGGGACATCCAATGTCAGGTTTTTATTCTCTGACCTGTGCAGGTGGCTCGGCTCTTACAGCCCTCTGTGATCTGGATTGGGAATGCCGAGAAGAATTTCTATAAGAGGGTCCCAAAAGAAGAGAAGGAGGTGCGGGACCTGGGTAGCCGCCGGAGCCAGGGGCAAGTCTGGCGTGGGCTTGCTCAAGTCAACTCCAAACCTCACCCGCTGTGGGGCCTTGGACAAATTCCCTGTTCTCCTGCTGCCTTATCCTGGAAGCAGGACAGGGGCCTCCTGGCCACCTCCCTGGATCCCTCCCGGGGTCCACTGGAGGCTGGGTGTGGACACGCGCTCCGAGAGAATGCAGAAGCCCATACAAGTCACCATGTTCCCGCCCCCACCCTGCCCGAGAGCAGATGGACCCAAAGCGAATAAAGAAGGATCTCACCAAGGCCTTGCGACTGCTGAGCCCAGGAGACCGCGTGATGCTGATAGGGACGAGTGACCAGCCGCAGCTGGCAGAGATGAAGGGGCTGTGCCGGACCTACGAAAGGATCCTCTTCATGCCACGGCCCGATTACGCTTCTCGCTTCGGTAAGACCCTGCGATGTGAGGATGGGCCAGACCGGGGATCCAGGGACCGGCCCTGCCCGAGCCTCCTCACCCTTCTCCCCCTCCCCACTGCCGCTCCGAGACGGCGCCTCCCATGGCAGGGAAGGGGAACTAGACAAGCAGCCTGGCGGCGTGGGTCCTGGCCCTGGACACGGCAGGCCCCGTAAGTCCTCTGAGTCTCATTTCCTCGTGTTACGTGGGGAGAATGATTCCCACCTTCCCGGGAGAGGAGGCACTGATGAGCACAGAGCCGCTCTCCAGACGCAGGGACCTCATGTCTGATAGGGGCCGAGGTGCTCACTGCAGGTTCTCCCTGCCCTGGGTCCTCCCCCGCTGCCTGCAGTGCTCTGGAGGCAGATGATAGAGGCCCAGGGGGTCCAGGTGACCCCGAACCTAGACATCAGTGCCCTGGCCAAGGTGTCCGATGGCTACACACCCGGCCGCATTCTCCAAGCCATCCGCTCCGTGTTGACGGAGCGGCGGGTCCTGCAGCTGTCCAAGCGGCCCCTGGTGGCCTCAGAGTTCTTGGGGCACCTGGCCAAGCTGGAGCCAGTGTACAGGGAGGAGGAGGAGTCCCTGAAGGTGAGGCTTGGGGGTGTGGGGGGAGGAGGGAGGTCAGGAGGGAGGGTAACGGGTCAGCACTAACCAGGGAGTCAGCCCTCTACGGCCCCCTTAGATACCTCCCTCTACTCCCCTGTGGAGTCCAGCTGGGAAGGGGATGAGAAATCCAGGAGAAGGACGTGTGGCAGGACCAGCTTACCTGGTGTCCTCAAGGGCTGGAGCCTAAAAGTGCTACCTGGGTTTTAAGAGCTGTGGTTGGTCCCGGTACCAGCGGACACCCAAATTCCCCTCCTGAGTCACCACCCACCAGTGCCCCATGGGGGCAGGATGGCCACAGAGGGAGGACTTGCCCCCTGACAGTGGCTGACCCCATGGCCTAAGTATTTGGTGGAGAGCAAGGGAAACCGGGACCCTAGCAGGACACCTGAGCTGGGGAAGAGAGGAGAACCAGCTGCCGTGGAAAGGGGAGGACAAGTTCGGGAAACAGAAGCAGGGTGGGGGGTGGGGGGTGGAGCCAATGCCCTCCCCTCTCCCCCTCCTCCTCCCATCAGGACTGGTACTTCAAGACTCCACTGGGCAAGAGGAGGGTAAAACTCATCAAGGACCAGGATGCTGGGGAAGCCAAGCTGGTGAAGGAGAAGAAGAAAAGGAAGTGATGGTTGAGGCCGGGTGCTCGAGCTTGGCAGGGGACTGGGGCGCGCCCCGCACGTGAAGGGCCTGGCATAAACGGGCAGAGGCATAAACGTCCACGCAGCTCAGGAGCAGCTCTCTTTATCCATCTCCGTGCTCCTCACACCTGTTCTGTGCCCCCTGCCTGTGCCCAGACTCCCCCTCCTGCCCCATCCCTGCTGGCCCTCCGTCCTCACCCACTCACAGCCTGTACCCTCGGCCTCCAGAGCCCTGTCCTCTGACCCCGCCGGTGTCTTCATCTCCTGTCCGTTCCTGTCCTGGCTCCCCAGCTCTCTTCCTCCTTGGGGTTTTTAAGAAAGAAAAAAAAAATAGGAAAAGAAAGAGAAGGAAAAAGCGAGGGGAGAAGGAAGGTCTACGGTAAGTCTGGAAAAAGAAAAAAAGCAAGTGTGGAAGTCAGCAGACGCTGGTGTTAACCCCACCTCGGCACTAACTCCCTGTGTGATCTCACACAGACCTTTCCTGTGTCTGGGCCTCAGTTTCCTTGTAAAGCGAGGAGAGATTGGACCAAGGTCCCTGGTACTCTAGGGTTTGATTATCCTTACAGGACTGTGTCAGGGTTAGGACTCTTAGGAAGTGGCGGGGTAGGGTAGAGGACGGTTCTAGAGATGAAGGGTGTAGTAGGTGGCCAGCACAAGGGCCAGTGGGGGGTCAGGTTTTAAGTTCTCTTTCTCCTTGTTATCCTGCTTATCTCCCCAAATGTAAGTAGTCTCGTTACCCTAATGTGCCTGAATGGGCCACTTCCTCCTCCTCACTCCCCAACTGGGACCCCTCTAACGTTGGCAAGTAGGGATGGGAGATGGGGGGGTCAGCACCCGGGGTGGGCACTGGGAGTTTCTGTGGCTGCTTGTGGGCTGAGCCCTCTCTCCCCCAGGCCGAAGTCTGTCTTCTGGAGAACACCTAGAAGGAAAGCCTCGTGGAATGGGGCCGCCTTAGCCATTCACCGCTACTGTGGACCTTTTCCTTGGGTTTGGGAGGCAGAAGGTGCAGGGTTGACCAGTGGCATTTGGGAGGGCAGGAAAAATCGCCGGGCACCCACAGGCCCTCCCCGTGGTGTCAGAGCCCAGGCCGCCGGAGCCTGGCTGGGTAAAGCACATGAGACAAAACAGAGAGAAGGAAATGGCAGCTTGAGATCTGCCACCCCCGTTCTAGTCCCGGATCTGCCACAAGTGGTCACACCTTGGGCAGATCACTTCCCACACCTGGGCTCTGTGTTCCTTTACCTGTGAAACTGCAGGTTGGCTCCCACGACCTAGGCGACCCCTTTTCAACCCTGCGGGCCATCAGCTCCAGGGTGGACTCAGGGTTGGAGGGCTCGAGCCTCACTCTGTTTTCCAGCTCTTCCCTAATGCCCATGCCGGCCTGAGGCCGCCTTCCTGGGACAGACAGCAAGGCCAGCCCGGGCTATTTATGGCATGGCCTACGTGTGCTCCCTGCTCCTCCCACACTAGGCCTCTGCCTGCCTCGGGCCCAGTGCTTGCCTGCCCAGTCGGCTGGCGACATCGCCTTGAGTCCCACTTCTTCGGCCCCTCTCTCCCAGAGATTGGCCATGCCTGGGAGAAGGAGTTCCCCTCCCCGCTGGGGAGGGCACCTGGGGTGCCTTCCTTCGGCCCCAGCCTGCCGGATCTGGGAGTCCCAGTCCCGCCCAGTCTGGGAACCAACCCGGCGGTCGCCACTGCTATGCCGTGACATGGCTTTGCAGAACGCCCTGTACACTGGAGACCTGGCGAGGTTGCAGGAGCTGTTTCCCCCACACAGCACAGCCGACCTGTTGCTGGAGTCCCGGGCCGCCGAGCCTCGCTGGAGCAGCCACCAGAGGGGTGAGGGACTGCCGGGGGCGGAGGGCTAAGGGGCAGGGGACTGGACTGACCCAATGCAACGCCGAGTTACCAAGTGTTTGAGGAAAAGGAGAAGCCCCTGGCTACTTCTCCCCTACCCAGAGGCTTGCCTAAGCCTTGGCTCAGGAGTGAAGTCATGCGGAGCCCAGAATAGCTTCTGCTGAACTGCATGGCCGGGTCAGGCTCAGCTCAGGGACACAGAGATCCTCTCCCTCCATCTGTCCGTGTTTCCTTCCTCCTCCTCCCTCCCTCTGCCTCTGACCCCCAACCCCAGTTTCCCCCACTCCTCTTCCCACATGCTCTTACGTACTCTGTCCTCATGAGCTGGTCCCCAGAAGAGTGCAAGGGGCAGGGAGAACACCCCAGTGACAGACACGCCCTCTGTGCCAGGCTGGTGGAGAAGCCCAACACAGGGTCTGCAGAGAACCCAGAGTCTGCCCCGGGACCCATCGTCACCCGGACGGCCTCGGGACCTGCCCTGGCCTTCTGGCAGGCGGTGCTGGCGGGGGACGTGGGCTCGGTCTCCCGCATCCTCGCAGATTCCAGCACTGGCCTGGCCCCGGATTCCATCTTTGATACCAGCGACCCAGAGCGATGGAGGGATTTCCGCTACAACATCCGCGCTCTGAGTACGGGCCAGGGGCACGGGGCGGGGGTGGGGGGAGGAGGCCGGGGGTTCTGAGTGGGAGAGGGGAGGCTGGCATTGGAGCTCTGGGCTCTCTCTTGCCAGCCTCCGCCCACCTCCTCTGTTGCATGGCGGCTGTCGGCCTCCCTGCAGGGTCTGAGGTCCCCATGCCCTCTCTCCCTAGGACTCTGGTCTCTGACATACGAAGAGGAGCTGACCACGCCGCTGCACGTGGCTGCCAGCCGGGGCCACACGGAAGTCCTGCGGCTGCTGCTGAGGCGGCGGGCACGGCCTGACAGCGCCCCCGGGGGCCGCACCGCCCTGCACGAAGCCTGTGCTGCAAGCCATGCCGCCTGTGTCCACGTGCTGCTGGTGGCAGGAGCGGACCCCAACATCCCCGACCAGGATGGAAAGCTCCCCCTGCACCTCTGCCAGGGGGCTGGCACCCTTGAGTGAGTGACCCCTCAACCCCGTCCCCATCCCCATCCCCCTCTCAGGAGGGAGGGGGTCAGAGCCAAGACCACAGGGGGTTGAGCAAGCAGGTCGGGGCATGCAGGCTGGCTGAGCTCGGCTGGGCTGGGAGTCGGGAAGGGGGTGCTCCCCAAACCATCCTGCCATTGGCCTTGGCCCTGGAACTTCGGAAGGGCCTGTACTTGGGACGGTTTCTGCTTCCCCAGGGGTGTAAAAGGAGCGTGGCAGGGACCGAGCTGCAGAGCCTGGGCTGGGAAGTTGTCTGGATCCATTGTGAGCAGGAGGACTACTGTAAAGTGTTCATTTTTCTGACCCTATCCTGTGCTCCAGGCCCTGTGCTAAGTACAACAGTAACTGAGACGGAAGCCTGCCCTCAGGGAGCTGACTCTCCAGCAGTGATCCAGACAGTCTGGAAAGGAAAGCAGTCCCCGGTTAAGGCATGCATTGATCCCTGTGGGCAGGTCTTGGCATTTCCCTAGTGGTGGCTAACCCTCAGATAAATGGGCCTAGGGACGGAGCTCAGCTAACTAAACTCACAGGAAACTGATAGACCCATCTTTTTAAATAAAGATTTTATCTGTTTATTTGACAGAGAGAGAGAGAGAGAGAGGAGGGCATGAGCAGGCAGAGCAGAAGGCAGAGGGAGAGGGAGAGGAAGAGGCAGGTTCCCTGCTGAGCAAGGAGCCCAGTACGGGACTCAATCCCAGGACCCTGGAATCATGACCTGAGCCGAAGGCAGACGCTTAACCAACTGAGCCACCCAGGCGCCCTCTCAGTCAATTTTTTGATGAGCATGGAATCCTGGCAAAGGGAGCCTTGGCAAATCCATGAAGTACCTATACATGCAATAGAGGCCCTCCCTCTACTGACCGCACACCCGGTGAATTTCACATCTTGCTCCTGAATGGGGCCAAATTTCTATCCCTTCCATCATGAGCTACTTAACCTCCTGTTAACCTCATCATCCTTCAGCAGACTCCACTGACTTATCATGGTCGAAGATGTACTCTATAGAATAGAATAGAAACACAATAGAAGCAATAGAAACACAATGTGAACTGCGTATGTAATTTAAAATTTTCTAGTAGCCTTATAAAAATAAAAGAACAATCATAGGGCTCAGTCAGTAGAGTTGGGACTCTTGATCTCTGGCTTGTGAGTTCAAGCCCCACATTGGGTGTAGAGATGATTTTAAATATAAAATCTTTAAAAAAAAACAGAAAAAGATGAAATTAATTTTTTAAATTGTGGTAAAATACATGTAACATAAAATTTACCACCTTGACCATTTCTGAGGGCACAGTTCAGTGGGACTAGGAAAGTTTACACTGTCAGGTGACCATCACCACCATCCTTCTCATGAACATTTTTAATCTGATAAAACTGAAATTCAGGGGCACCTGGTTGGCTCAGTTGGTTAAGTGTCTGTCTTCCAGTCAAGACCCTTTCTCAGGGTCTTGGGACTCCTGGGGCTCCCTGCTCCATGGGGAGTCTGCTTCTCCCTCTGCCTCTCCCCTTCTCTCCCTCTCCCCCTGCTTGTTGTGCTCACACTCTCTCTCAAATAAACAAAATCTTAAAAACAAACAAACAAAAAAACCAACCTGGAATTCTGTCCCCACTAAACAACAGCTTCTCATTCCTCTCTCCCTCCACCCCGTGACAGCCACCATTCTTCTGGGTTCTAGAATTTGACTATTCTAAGTACCCCGTATGAGTGTACTTACAGGGCATTTGTCCTTTGGCGATGGCTTCTGGCACTCAGCACCATGTCCTCAGGGTTCACTCCGGCTGCAGCAGGTGTCAGGATGTCCTCCCTTTTTCAGGCTAAATGAGATCCCATTGTCTGAAGACGCTACATTCTATCCATGCATCTGCTGGTGAGCACTGAGACTGCTCTCATAGTTTGGCTGTCGTGAATAGTGCTGCTGTGAACGTGGGTGTGCAAATATCTGTGAAACAAGTGAAATTAATTTCATTTTTTAAAAAAGATTTTATTTATTTATTTGACAAAGAGCGAGAGATCACAAGTAGGCAGACAGGCAGGCAGAGAGAGAGGGGGAAGCAGGCTCCCTGCTGGCAGAGAGCCCGACGCGGGGCTCGATCCCAGGACCCTGAGATCATGACCTGAGCCAAAGGCAGAGGCTTTAACGCGCTAAGCCACCCAGGCGCCCCTGTGAAATTAATTTTAATAATATATTTTATTTAATCCAGTATATCTAAAACATTGTCACTTCAACATGTAATCAGTATACAGAACTAATGAGATATTTTTACTTTCTCTTTTTTTGTACCAAGTCTTCGAAATCAGTGTGTGTTTTACACTCACGGCATGTCTCCATGAGGCACGGTCATAATCCAAGCACTCAGGAGCCACGTGTGCCTGGTGATCACCGAATCAGACAACACAGCTCTACACAATCCCACATTTTTGGCTCTGGTCACGTTCTAGCCCAGCCATATGGAGACCGCACCTGGTTGAGAATCATTCTGCCCTTTCCCGAGTAAACAGAAGTATTTTTAAAATTACTATGGATAACTTTAAGCCTATAGAAAGGTGGGCAGGATAATATGATGGCCCCGTGATCCATCACACTCTCGCCCTGCCAAGGGCCGCTGTCACGGCCTTTCCAGGCATTTTCTCCTGGGCCGCTCACAACTTCATTCAGTCTAGGTATTAGCAATTGTCCCTATTCTACAGATGAGGACACTAGCTCCAAGAGGCTAAGTTCTCTTCACCTTGAATTTCCGTGTACACGGTCTTACAGGCACGCACAACCTTCTGGGAGGGCTGTCTTGGAGCAAATCTGGCTGGTCAATTTGGGTTTTGTTGTTCTTTTTCCTATGCCCCCAATTCCATCTGCACGCATGGCCAGGTCCCGTGTCCCCCTTCCTCCACCAGCCCCAGTGTGCGCAGCTCTCCAACTGCCCTGCTGCCCCGGGTCCAAATGCCGGCCGCGCTCTTTCCTGGCTGTGCAAACGTGGGCCAGGTCCTCACACCTTCAGGGCTCAGTTTCTGCCTCAGGACCTAGGAAGAAACAAGTTAGTTCATGTAAAGCCCTCAGAAGGGTTCCCGTTCTCACTGCATGAGGGCTTGTGTGAATCTCACCCCCACAAAGAGTTTAGGGCACCACTCCTGCAGAGGGCAAGCAGGCTTGGAGAGAAGCCTTGCTGGCCCTAGGACATGGCTGGGATGACTAGTGACCGTGGGATGGAGGAGGAGGGGAGGGACAGAAGCAGGAGTCACCCAAGTACTCCCTCCGGGTTTGTTCTGCTCAGACTGGTAGGAGTGGAGGACTCTATTTCCCTCCCCAACCCCATCTCACCCTTCTCAGGTGTGCCGAACTGCTCCTGAGGTTTGGGGCCAAAGTGGATGGTCGGTCTGAGGAGGACGAGGAGACCCCTTTGCATGTGGCCGCCCGGCTGGGCCACGTGGAGCTGGCAGACCTGCTTCTGAGACGGGGGGCGTGCCCTAATGCCCGTAATGCTGAAGGCTGGACCCCGCTGCTGGCTGCCTGCGACGTCCGCTGCGCGTCCCCCGACAACTCGGAGGCCACCACCGCCCGCTGCCTCCAGCTGTGCCGTCTGCTGCTTTCAGCTGGAGCCGAGGCTGATGCCGCGGACCAGGACAAGCAGCGGCCTCTGCACCTGGCCTGTCGCCGTGGCCACGCCGCCGTCGTGGAGCTGCTCCTTTCCTGTGGCGTCAGCGCTAACGCCATGGACTATGGGGGACACACGGCCCTGCACTGTGCTCTGCAGGGCCCAGCTGCAGCCCTGGCCCAGAGCCCAGAGCACACGGTGCGAGCTCTGCTCAACCACGGTGCCGTCCGCGTCTGGCCGGGGGCCCTCCCCAAGGTATGGGGCTGGGGCCAGAGGGAGGGCCGTGGGGGTGAGGAGATGGGGAGCCTGGGACCTGCTCCCGCTCGCTCTAGATGCAGCCTCACACTCTGATTCATCACGTCAACAAAGCCCAACAGGGGGCAAAGGCAAGGATGCAGACCAGCAGGAGGGGTGTGTGTGTGTGTCCACACATGTGCTCACACGTGCATAAACACATGTGTGCGTACATGCATATGCACGTGCATGTGCATGCACCAGCGTGTGCGTGTGTGATGAAGGTGGACGCAGGGCAGGAGGGCAGATAATCACGTAACCTGAAAAGCCAGGAGCCAGGACTGATGTGAGCGTCAGGGAGTTTTTTCTTCGTCAGGGGAGTGAGCTGATGAGAGGAGCACGTGGGAAACTCAGCCTGGCGGTGGGATCCGTTCAGTGAGACTCTCGGTGCACAGGAGAGGCTCCCCCAGGGCAGAGCGATGAGCCTGGGCCATGAGGTTCAAAGCCTCCTGACCTTGTGCAGACAGACACTGTCCTTGTTTCAGAGAGCTTAGCAGGACATGCATCCCCCAGACCAGCAGCCGCTGTCCTGGCACCAGAGAAAAAGCCCTTCGCCATGAATTTCCCGGCTGTATCCTATTTTATTAACATAAAATGTTCCCAAAGTAGATTCAACTTGAAGACCTGTGCTCCTAGATGCTGTGGTAGGGGGCCCTGTCCCATACTGTGTCATATCTGGAGGGGGCCATATAATGTCGCCGAGGGTGCTGGGAGTGGGTTGGGGAACTGTGTTCTCTGAGGAGCTGGGTCAGACAGATATAGGGCAGCAAGCTGTGGGCAGATCCCTCCGGGCCATCTCGGGTCTTGAACCGTCCAGCCCTGAACCTCCTCTCCTGTCCCTGCCTTTCCCCTTCACTCACAAACCTAGAAGCATCTGTCTAGATTCCTAAGCAAGACCAAATAATTAAACAGCCTGAGAGTTCGGCAGATTGGTCTCCCCTTTGGGAAAATACAAGAAAATCAACAATTAACACTAATTAATCTCCTATTAACACCAGATAATTAGGAGACGAGCAATTCCCTGTAATCTGACGGTGGCTCTGACAGCTAATGATTTCCCCTTCGGGAAGAGGGTGGGAGGAGGAGGCAGAGCAGTGAAAGGGTTTCCCGAGACCCCACTGCCCGCCCCCCGCCTCCAGCCCCGATCTGCCTGGCCTTAGGGATCAAGGGGGCCGGTACAGCCAAGTGCCCCATTCCTCCCCTTCGTCTGGGTGCCGCATCCCAGGTGATCGAAAAGTTCAGGAAGGAGTCTGCCTCCGTCTCCCACAATCTGGAGTAGCTCCATGCTTGGCTGAGGTGCCGTCTCCCTGCCAGGAGTCGTCTGTGATCACTGCCGGCCTCAGGCAGCTCTCCAGGAGCCACTGGGGGCTCAGGAAACCCGGAGCCAGGGTCTGGTTTGGTGCTTGCTCCTGTGACTATAGGCAAGTCACTGGAACGCTTTGAATGCGTGTTCCTTGCATGTAACACAGTCTCTAGTGAACAGTGCTGAAAAGCTGCAGGAGCCTCATGGGTGACAGTAAGAGGGAGCACAGCCCTGCCCACCACCAGACACTATTCTATGGTGTGATACCTTGGAAGTAAGTGACAACCACGAGTGCAGGCTCTGGAACCTGGCGCACAAGCCTCATGACCCTTGGCAAGTTGCTTAATCTCTTGGGGCCTCAGTTTCCTCGTGCATAACACAGGGACATAAGAGTGCGCCTGCTTCTTAGGGTTAGTATGAGAACTGAGCTCATACACATCAAGCCCTTGAGATGGGATCCTAACCTAGAGTTAGCGATCAACTCGTTAGCTCATGTTCTTCTAAGTTAAGCAACCTGCGGGAAAGCTGCTGGGCATTATCCCAACGTAGGGGGAGAGAGAGATGCAGTTTGAACCACCGCAAGAGGCTTCCCAGAGTGGAGGGGACTTGGGATGGGCTGGCCTTGGAGATGGAGGAGAAGTCAGTCCCAGACCTGCTCTGGGCAGATGGGATGGGGCAGCGAGGCTTTTCTAGACCACAGGACAAAGCACCCTCCCAACACACTCAGTCCCAAGCCTACCTGGTTTTCATTGTAACGGCTTATCCGTGGTTGTTGATGTGTCTACACTGTTTCCTCCCACTGGAATAGAAGTTCCCAGCTGACAAGGACCTGTCTGTCATCGTCATTGCTGGGTCCCCAGAGCTCAGGCCATAGTGGCCCTCAGTAAATACTTACTAAATGAAGAAATAAAAGAATGAAAATGGCTCCAACTCGATCCCACCAGGCCTCTTCTGGCCTTGTCCCTTCTCTCTGAATCCTCTCCCCAATGGCCTCACTTTAACTTGATCACAACTGCAAAATCCTATGTCTTGAGGTCATATTTATATGTACTGGGGATTAGGACTTCAACATTTTGCAGGGGGGGGGCACAATTCAACCCACAGCAGCCGTTCTATCACCGTCTGGCCATTCTGCGCAGACTGGCTGGGGACCTGCAGTGTGGGGGGAAGACCAGAACTGCTATCTCTGCCTCCTCCAGGTGCTGGAGCGCTGGTGCGAGTCTCCGAGGACCATTGAGGTCCTGATGAACACCTACAGTACCATGCAGCTTCCTGAGGAGGCCATGGGCCTGGTGCCTCTTGAAACACTGCAGGTCAGATTCCAGGACCCGGAACACACACACACACCCTCAGCCTGCCTGGCCCCAAGGGACTCCCGCTGCCTCCAGGGAAGCTCCGTTCGTTCCCCCAACCCTGCCCCAGAGAAACGACCCAGAGACCCACTTACGTCCCAGCAGAAGACGACCCACAGGGTGAACACCCAAAACACTACTTCTGGAGGCTTCCATAGACACCTCCTGGCCACCAGCCTCCCCCTGCCCCGCTCTAGGAGGAAAGGGTGCCATTTGTCCAAGGCTGCCTCACTGAGCCCCTCATTCTGTCCCCAGAAGCACCACCGTTTCTATTCCTCCCTTTTCGCCTTGGTGAGACAGCCCAGATCCCTGCAGCATCTCAGCCGCTGTGTGCTCCGTGCTCACCTGGCAGCCCACCTGCCCCAAGCCCTGCCCCGCCTTCCCCTGCCATCCCGCCTGCTCCGCTACCTGCAGCTGGATTTTGAGGACGTGCTCTACTAGGTAAGTCCTGGGTTCCGTGGGTGGCCCCAGCCGTCTAGAGGGATGGGTCTGAAGCAAGAGAAGAATTCAGGGCAGGCCCTTGGCCAGAACCAGCCAGCCTCCTGGATCATGGACCTCTCTGAATCCACACCTCTGTTTCCAGATGTCCCCTGCCTTTGGGGAGACCTGAAAGCAGATGCCCCAGGGGGGTCCAGTCTGCTGCTCACAGCACCCCCAACCCAGGACTGAGTTGAACTGATTCAGGCCCGAGGTGACTGTGTCAGCAGGATGTCCAGCTTCCCAGGCACATGTTGGAGCCGTCATTCTCACCGGGGAGAGACACAGACAGACCACGCCGCCAGGCGATGTCTAACGGAGACAGCTGGGACTCGTGGCAAGGGATGCACTCCTGTTGGTGGTCTCCCGAGGCACCCCTCCGGTCTACCCGATCCTGGTGTGAGCATTAAAAATCTGCTCGCCTGCGTTGTTTGGTGCTGTGTCCAGCAGGTCTTCCTCTGAGCTGGTTACTCAGGGGACTCAGGTTGGGCAGACTTATGCCCCGCCATCTGTCCCATGGTGCCAGCTGTGTCCTCGTCCCCCTCTGGCATCTACCAGCTGTTGAGCAGTCCAGGCAGACTTGCCCAGTGGCTCATGATGTGACACAAGGGCCACCAGGTGAGACAGCGTCCGGACAACCAGCCAGGGGAGGGTTGAGCAAACAGGCTTCGGTAGAGAAGAGCTGCTGCAGGGATGAGGCAGTGCGGACGACGGGACAGGATGGGAAAGGCGGCCTCGGGGCAGGGCGCTGAGGTGAACAAGGCGGCCAGTGAAAAGGGTGCAGGTGTCAGCCATCAGGGAGGGTCACCGTGGCTCAGGTGAGAGTGGAAGATTCAGGTTTGGAATAAACTACCCTCGCTACTGCCTGTCGTCTAGGTCAGGGAGCAGCCGGCGCACACCTGGTTCCTGCCTCTCTCGGATTTAGCTTTGGGGCGGCAGGAGCTGAGCTGAGCTAACGCGCCGGGGGTCCCAGTCTCAGCTCTGCCAGTCGGTAGTGGCACTTAAATTTCTTCCCCTCTCTGGCTCAAGTTGCTCACCGCTGTAAGACAGGAAAGGAGAGAGTCCCTGAGGGCCTTTGCAGCCCCAGGATTTTAAGACCTCGCAAGTGGCCAGCACGCAGGAGTCAGAAGGAAGATGGAATTGACGGGGGACGCAGAGCAGCCAATCAAGTGCACTGTGATCCGTGACGTCACGGGTCGCCGGACAGGTTTCACCGCGCCCCAGAGGGCGTACGCGCAGGAGTTCACACCTTTCCCGCCAACTTCCAACTTCGGGAAGGACGGAGGCTGCGGTGGGCGGGGTCTGAAGGACGCAGGCGGCAGGGGCGGGGCCGGCAGGGCGCGAGGGCGAGGCCGGGGAAGGCGTGGAGAGAGAAGCCTGGGAGAAGCGGGGCGGAGGTGAGTGCGCCCGGGGGCTCCCACCCGGCCTCAGGGGCCTTGGGCTAACCCGCGCTGTGGGGCGCGACAGGAGGACCGGACCGCCAGACGGAGCCCCGGCCCCTCAGCTGTGGCGACGCCGGGCGGGTCCTGAGCGCGCAGGCCCGGGCGCGCAGGGTGGAGGGGATGAGGGACGGGGGCTGGGCAGCGATTTCGGTGGGGCTGGTGCGTGTGTGCGGGGGGCCTCTCCGGGAGAGCCCGTCTTGTGTCGGGCGGGGGCCTGGGAGAATGCCCATGGCCCATGCGTCTGTTAGGCAAGGGCTTACATGCTCCTGCGCCCAGGTGCCGCGCGCACAGGCCTGGCTCTCCGGTCCCCACCGGAGTACCTTCTAGTGCGGGGACCCTAAGCAAACGGGCGGCGGCAAGGTGCCTCCGTGCTGAGCCCCACGAGGATTCATCCGGCGATTACCAGCGTGCTTGGAGCGACTGGAGACGGGGGACAGGGAAGCCTCCTCTTGGAGGAGGTGACATTTGACCTGAGGCCCAGGCGCGCGAGTGGAATGAGGACGAGCCTTGGGGTGCCATGAAATGATGTAGCTTTGAGAAGCTCTCTGAATGGCTTAGGGGAGAGGCCAGGGAGAGTCCAAGACCATTAGGGGCTTCTGCTGACATCCAGAGACCCCAGAACTGGGGAAGCAGTTTGGGACCCCCTTTGGAGACTCGAGGTGACATGCTGATGGGCTGGACGTGGGGCCTGAAGGAGAGTAATCCCGGATGACTCTGTTTCGGCTGAACAACTGGGTGGGCGGTGGTGCTAATTCCGAAGGCCGAGAAGTTGAGCCAGGGACAGGCGGTGGAGGAATGAGACAGTCACTCTGGGACATAGGAAGTCGGAGCTGCCTGTTACACATCTGAAAGAGGCCATGTCACAGGGTCATTTAGATCTAGGAATCTGGAATTCGGAGACAAGGGCAGGTCTGGCGATATAAATGGGACCGTTGGCATGAGAAAGATGCTGAAAGCTCTGTTCTAAGAGAATCCTGACTCTCGAGGGGATGACTTTCCTGAGAGTTATTTATGCACTCTGATGGAAATTTTACTTAATCCCACCCACATCACTCATTTTGCACCTCCTCGATCTACAGCTGTGAATGAGACCGGTTCCTGCCCTCAGTGAATTTCCCATCTAGTCCGAAAAACAAGTGTGTGAATCACTAGTTCAACTACAAGGGGCAGTGAAGTGAATGCAAGACTTGTGGGAGCAGAGGCTGAGGGCATGTAGGGGGCAGGGACCTGGGAAGACTTCCCAGGAGGCGGTTGCCTCTCCCAAAGTGTTAAGAAGGGAGAAGGATTTCTGACCATATCTGAGAGTACTGGATCCTTTGAAGGATGCCTTTTTTTTTTTTTTCTTAAAAAGATTTTATTTATTCACTTGACAGAGCAAGCACACGCAGGGCGAGCAGCAGAGGGAGAGGGAGAAGCAGGCTCTCCACCGAGCAGGGAGCTGGATCCAGGGCTGGACCCCAGAACCTGGAGATCATGACCTCAGCTGAAGGCAGACACTTAACCAACTGAGTCACCCAGGCGCCCCTGAAGGATGCCTTTTTAAGGAGGATAGCAGTCAGGGAAGAAAGACCATGCAGAGTGGTCAGTGTGAGGGTCTGCTGCCCAACTTCACGCGTTCTGCCATTAGCAGGAAGTGGTAGGCAGGTCCTTTCTGGGGTTAGACATAAACAGACACTCTTGCAAGCCGGGGAGCTTCCTCCCCAGCCTCCTGGCTGCGGGTCCCGCGGGCCCAGAACCTCTCCCCGGTAATTGCTTTCCGTAATGTGTTTGCTCCAAACCAATTTCACGCCTCCGTGAGGACTCCGCCCTGCACTGGAGGCGCGGACCTCCCCACCACCAACCTACCCACGTGTAACGCGTGCTCACACACAAACGGCACGCAATTTAGACAACAGATACACGGGGTTCAAGTAACTGGGCGCGAAGAATATACATGAACCTACACGCACGCATACTAGACTTTAAGATTCTTGGGTACAATTCCCCCCGCCCACCCAGCGCGCTCCCAGTTTGATATCCGGCAGGGGCGCCCAGGGCGCACGCCCTAGGAAGGTTCACCTGGTCGGGCTCCTATGCCCTCGCACGTCTCCCGGGCTAACGCCAGGGGGCGCTGCAGTACTCCGCTCTCCGCTCACGCTGACGCAGTTGCGCGCTGCCGCCACCAGAGGGTATCCGCGGGCAGGGCCCGACGCCCATCGCGAGTGGACCCTCTCCCGCCAATAAGTGAGGCGGAGGTACAGATACTTCGGCTTTGACTTTAGAATACTTAGTTCCTCGTATCCTAGGGGCTGCCTTCCAAACCATGACGGGGAGGATAGATGGGGAGGTCCGATACAGGGACAAGCAGAAGAGGGTAGGTTCAACTCCTCTTACAGGCCTTGACCCAGCAGGTGAAATCCTTGAGTACCTGGACAGTCCGAGAAGCAGAAGGCTGTTGTGGACAGTGAGAAGAGAGCTTGCCCGCGGCGGGCCTGGGGGGCGCTCGGTTAGAGCAGCACAGCCTTCTGCTGGGAAAGAGAGGAGCCGGCTGTGTTCAGAGTTGATGGTGACAGCGTCTCCCCTGGTCCTGATGGGGAAGGGAAGGAGAGCCGCTGGTCCAGGGACTTCCCGACCACTGTGCTCTCCTTCGTCCATTTAGTACAGGAGGGAAAGGGATGTCGAAACGCATTTCTTCATGTTCGCTTGATCCTTGCCCTGGCTCCTGGGCTAGGCAGAGTAGATCCTAATCACTTGCTCTCACAGATGGAGCTGAGTCAGAGGGGCCAAGGTTACCTGGCTCTGTGAGGCTCGGAACAGGGACTTAACTCCAAGTCTTGTTACTCCAGCCCGTGCTTTTTTCCGTTGACCATTGGCCTCGGTTCCACAGCCTGCAAACGGGCAGGGAAGGGGAATGGGCTGCTTCAGCTGCCCCTATGTATGTGGCTTTTATCCTGGTTAGCTAGTGAATGTCAAGGACTATGCAGAAGTCACACTTCATGACCTAGCATGGCAGGGGACAGGTCGAGGACATAAACGGATTACAAAATACAGTGTCTCACAGACATGCGGCACACCAGGGCAATACAAAGTCCCTGGGGTTTCACTTGCCTCCTTCCAGAGTTGGTGGCCTGCTGGGATTTGTTGGCACAAGCTTTAAGGCTGAGCCCTCTGCCAGCTTGAGCAGAGGATTTCACTTTACTAAGTCTGGTTCTGGGCAATAAGCTCTTGGCTTGAGCTGGGTGACATACATCTTCAAGACCAGAAGGTCTTTAACCTTGAGTCTGTGACAGTGCATGACCCATTCTGTCCTACCAGAGAGTGACAGGCTTATAAAAGTGGCCTTTTATTGGGGGGCGCTCCTGGTGGGAGGGAGATGTTTAATATATATGCCCTTTTGAGCTTTTGGAATTTTGTACTACGTAATTTTATCACCTATACCAAAAACAAAAAAATAAATGAATGCAGTTCCTTTAAAAAAAAAGTCTCTTCCTTCATGCTTTATTTGATTGGTGTTGTTACTGCTCATATAGCTTTAATTTCAGGGATTGTAACCCAAAGCTCCTTCCATAATTTATCAAGCCCATAAGGCTCCTATTGTGTATCCCACACCGTAAAACCATCAAACCAAGTACTGACCTGTCATTTTTGAAGTACAGTACACTTTTGAAGACTGGTCTTCCCTCTTGGGACCATGAAGTGCTTGATTAATTTAACAAGGGATTCTGAAGAAGATCTTGAGGATGTACAAAGATCATCCTAGAACCCTAGTAGTGAGGCAGGGTTCCCGGACCTGAGGTGAGCCCCGTCTACGTTGCCTGTGGCAGACGTTCTCCCAGCAGACTTGTCTCTACGAGGTTTCATGAGTTTAACGTACAGCCCAGGACAGATCAAGACTTCATGGAAACCACCCATTTCTCCTTTTACCTGTCTGGCAAATTGTCCAGCATAAACAAAGAAACGTCTTCTCTAGGATCTCACCCTTTTCTGTCCCACCCCGGTGACCGTGTCTTTCCAGAGGCTGTTTTGTAATCGTCAGCCTGACTTTAGTGGTGGTCACTAGGCCATCACAACACTCCTGATTGGGACATAGGTCTCTTGAGATCCAGAGTTCGTTCCCGCACGCTCAGCCTTGGCTCAGAAAAACCAAGACCCTTAGGCACAGGTTTCCATTCTCACCTGAGCCAAGTAACTTTCCCAGTCTAGGCTGCATGTTCCTGAACCCGCCCAGCTTTGCTGTTACTTTTAATTAGCTTGGCTCTCGCCGGCCCCACCTGAATCAGTTTTCCAGCGGCCAGGTGACCTCTACTGTAGCTAGCTAGGCGCGCTCTGGGTGCTGAAACTCGGGGCGCGCTCCTGTTGACTTGCCTGTCGTTAGTCTTTTTTTGCCCGTTGACCTGGGCCTCCTATCAAGCAAGAGTATGCGAGACTTTTGCCTCTAGACTGACAACTATACCGCTGGGAACAGGGGGTGGGGGTGGTAAAAGACGCTTGCATTTCTGTGTTTGAGAATGGGGGAGGTGAGCAGAGTCATCTGCAATTAGCGAATAATTAGCGCTGCTGACCCTTGGGGCTCATCAGTGCTCCTGGGGCCAGCCCCCAGCAATCAGCTAGGGCAGGTCGAGAGTGTCAGGCCCAGGAATGAATAGGGCTCATCAGCGGTGCCGGAGCCTGGGAGCCAATCAGGGAAATTAATAGCAGAAGAGAGGGAGAGAGAGGGAGGGAGACAGAGATAGACAGACAGACAAGAGATACAGATATAGGTGAGAAATGAGAAAAAATAGAGTAAGACAACGGGGATAGGGAAAGAGAAGTAGGAATAATCAAATAGGAACAGGGATAGGAAGGAAGGACGGGAGGAAAGGGGAGAGTGGAGGAAGGAAAAGCATGTAAGGGATGGGGGAAAGGTGAGAGGAATGGTAAGTACTTGGCATAGTGTGGGTCCTCGAGGAAATTACCCACAGAGGCCGCGCTTGGGAGGAGGGACCGAGGAGGAAGGGGAAGAGCCAGTATCAGGAGAAAAGAGACCCGGGGAGAGGGGAATGGGGTCGGGAAGAAACTACCGAGGGGAAAGGGGCCCCCTGCAAGAGCTCTGAGCTGCGGCGCCCCGCGGCAGAGCGCGCCCCCTGGCGTTCCCGCCTCGCCGCCCGAGGGGGCGCGGAGGTCCTGTCCCGCCCGCGTGGCTGGGGCTTGCTCTCGGGGCGGCCGGGGAAGGGGCGTCGGGGGCGGGGAGGGACGCCGGGGACTGGCCCAGGGTCCGGCGGAGGACGGCGGCCCGGGGGCCTGGGGCGTCGTGGTCCCGCCCCGCCCGGTGCGCCCTCCTTGCCCCGCGGCCCGCGCCACGTCCACGCCCGGGCAGGGTGGGCCGAGCAGGGGCGGGCTGGGGGGAGGGAGGGGCGCCGGCCCAGCAGCTGCCGCCGCCTTCTCGTCGGCCGCAAACTTTCACAAAGCGGCGTGTCCGGCCTCATCAATCTCCATTAATAATAGTTGGTTGGGCCGCGGGGGGCGGGCGGGGGTCCCGGGCCGGCCGGCCGGGCCGCTGGGAACGGGCTCTGCGGAGGGAGCGGAGCCGGGCGCGGCAGCGGCGGGCGGAGGGAGGAAGTGAAGCGTAATTTGAGGAAGATGGATGAGTCCGGAGGGCGACACCCCCAGCCCGCCCGCTCGCCCGCCCCCTCCCTCCTTATGAGAGAGAGGGAGCGCGGCGCCGGAGCCACACTGCGCCGAGCCCGCGCCCCGCCGCCACCTCGGCCGGGAGCCTGGGAGCGAGCCCTGCGTGTCCGCGCGGGGCGCCCGAGCCGCGAGGCGCACGGCGGCGCCCAGAGGGGAGCGCCCCGGGGCGGCCGCAGCTCCGGGCACGATGCAGAGAGCTGGAGGCGGGGGTGCCCCCGGGGGCAGCGGCGGGGGCAGTGCTGGGGGCCCGGGCACTGCCTTCTCCATCGACTCCCTGATCGGGCCGCCGCCGCCTCGCTCCGGCCACTTGCTGTACACCGGCTATCCCATGTTCATGCCCTACCGGCCGCTGGTGCTGCCGCAGGCGCTGGCCCCTGCCCCGCTGCCGGCCGGCCTCCCGCCTCTCGCCCCACTAGCCTCCTTTGCCGGCCGCCTTACCAACACCTTCTGCGCGGGACTGGGCCAGGCCGTGCCCTCGATGGTGGCGCTGACCACCGCGCTGCCCAGCTTCGCGGAGCCGCCCGACGCCTTCTACGGGCCCCAGGAGCTCGCCGCTGCCGCCGCCGCCACTGCCGCCCGAAACAACCCCGAGCCGGGCGGCCGACGCCCGGAGGGTGGGCTGGAAGCCGACGAGCTGCTGCCCGCCCGGGAGAAAGTGGCAGAGCCCCCACCGCCCCCGCCTCCGCACTTCTCAGAGACTTTCCCAAGTCTGCCGGGTAAGTGCTGGGCCGACCAGGGCGCCGGGCGGGAGGCTCGTTCACTTGGAAATCCCAGGGAGCAGCTTGCTCAGAATCTCAGCACCTGCCTGGAGCCCTGGCCTCCCAGACCCCCCAGATGTGGGGTTCTGCAGAACCACCTCCAGTTCTGTTCCAAAGGCGGCACCTCTGGATCCCAGAATCCGCTGCCCTGCTAGGTCGTCCAGAGTGCCTGAAACCTCACCCGAGACCTCCCAGTACTCCCTTTCAAATCAGTACCTTTCCTCCCTGCATTCTAGTCTTCCAGACTTGGCTCCCACTTCTCTTTTTAGGGATCCCTTCATTTTTCTCCTCTGGGGAGAAGAGAGAAGCTGCAAGTGTGGGATTCCTGGAGACACTAGCAAGACCCTACGGTGAGGGGGCACCAGGGCAGCTGGCAGTTCAGTAAGGGGCCGGCAGTTCTGGCTTCGGAGAAGACTGGGCTGACCCCAAATGGGCTCTGGGAGTGCAGGGGCAAAGGGAGGGTCTTAAAGCCATGGTGACCAGTTGGTGACCAGCTGGTGACCTGTCTTTGCCTGAGTAGTAGAGGTCATTTCTGAATTGTCATATTTAGAGATCAGCCTTGGAGGACTGAGTAGGGGACCTAAGGGGACATTAGCGAGCAGGGGGCCTAGCACCTGCCGCACCAGGACTGATTGGGAGGTCAAGACGGAAGTTAAGGGCAGGGCTGGCTTGGGCGTGGCACAGACACCTGGAGTGGAGAATCTGGCTGAGATTCTGGAACCAGGGAGATTCTGCCAAGAGATCATGCAGGAATCCTGGCTTCTGCATGGGAAGACGCCTTCTCAATAGAGGCAGGGTGTATTAAACTGAACCCTGTTTAGAATCAAGCTTCCCGGAGTCCTCCTGACCTTCCTCATCCATCCTCAACCTCTCGCTGCTGGAAAAGCTTCCCCCTATCCAGGGGCAGATCCAGGTGTGGTGAGATCCAGAGCGTACACAATGTAGTGGGCTCTGTTTAAGAAAAACGGGCTGCATACAAGCGTGCGGCTCCTGAAGCTCAAACTTCTCTAGCACCAGGATGAATCCACATCTGCTTAGCTATTCCTTATATCAGCTTAGCGGGTAAAAGTGACCCCAGGAGGCCTGGGGTCTGACTGTAGCAGAGGCAAGAAGGAGATCCAAGAGTCCTTTTGTGTTTTGTCAGGAGAAGACAGCTCCTGGTGACAGGTTCCTGGGCCCTTCCGTGAAATTGTCCGATAGTCTGACGGCTCTTCCAGACCCCAAGTGCTGCTTACAGGGCCTGTCTTCCCCTCCTTTTCCCCTTTAGCTTTGGGCGTTTCGGCTTTGAGGATTCAGCTGTTGTTTTGTACCTGGTTAGGCCAGGGGGATCCAGTGACTGAAGTCTGAGCAGCACCCCCTAAGGGGGATCAAAAGGAAATTAGCAGCAACTGGAAGGTGGGAGGAAATGTCCACAAGATAAAAGGGCCCAGAGCGGAGCGGAGGGGAGGGGAAAAGCAGCTGACAGGACGATCCGAGGAAGAACGGATCAGTAGGATTTTCGGAATAATAGTCCTAAGGCAGAAACGAGCAAGCGGAGCAGGATGGCGTTGGGGGCAACAGGGGCTGGAGGAACAAGCAGACACCTGAGGAAGAGATGCGCTGGGCGGGAAGCAGGAAGGCAGACAACCAAGGGAAGAGGGACCTGGGGAGGATATGCCGAAACCATGGGAGAACTTGTCTTCCTCTTTCGGGCTGCCCTCCGTTGTTTATTTTGACCCATTTGTCAAATGAAGGCTCTTTTTCTGAAGCAAATAGAATATTGGCTGTAAAACCAGACAGCGAGAGAGAGAGAGAGAGAAGTAAGCAGAGGGAAAGAACAGAAGAGAAATGTTGAGGAAGGAAGAATAGAGGAAAGGAAGGACCAGCAAATGCACTCTGTCCCCTGATTGTTCAGAGAGAGAATATGAGAGAGGAGACGTCTGTCTGTTGGAAGAGAGAAGTATAAGGGATTTCTAGCCTGGGCTAGTTGAAGAGGGAACAGCATGTCTGGGCCAGAAATGTGTGTGTGAAAGAATTCTGTTCTGAGAGGCTTGGGAGGGAGCTAACTCAATGTCCGGGTAGGAAACAGGGAAGTGTCCACACTAGGAGTAATTATTTGAAAAATGTTTTTCCGTACTGGGAGTGATCGTGAACTGGAATTTATATACAGAGAATGATTGAAGGAGAGATCATAATCTAAGGGAAATATTGGAAGTCATCAGAAGACACCTGTTCTTGGAGTAAAGACTAGAATGATGGGAAGGAGATCTTACAGGGGAAGAATTCTGAGAGCTGGTGGCATGAAGGTAATCACTCATATTGGAAGGAGATACACATAAAGGGTTTATAGTGGGGCTTGTGAGACAGGGCAGGAAGGAGAGATTTCAGAAGAAGCACTCGAAGAGGATAGTGACTGGGAGATCTATCTGTGACCCCACTTCTTATCATTCTCAGTATAGACTCTCCTGACGCTGCCTTACCACGCCACTCACGTCCACCTGCCCAGTCATCATTTATTTTCCCCCATGAAGTAGTTCAGAAAAGAGGAGGAAATTCCAGAAATGTTAGACATGAATTCAGTTTGGGGAGTGATGACACATGGCCTGTGCTGAAAATGGTGGGAAAATGAATACTCTATTTTGGGAATTGTATTAAACTATTTATTGTGAAATGAGAGTTTTCGCTTGAATAATGAGACTGAAACCTCAACATTAGAAGAGTTTGGAGAAAGAATGCTATCTTTAAAATGACAGACGAGGAATTGCTGTTCTAGTGTGAATGGCTGACATGGGTCTGAGATTATTAATTGACATATGTTTAGTGTTTTACAGTTACTAGCCCTGTTAAATGAAATTATAGTGAAGATAGGCCAATCTGGAGAATGATGAATGAAGCTCTTCTGTTGGGAAATACTATTTTTAAAAATTTTTTTGCTTCGAGTTGAGAGAGACACCACCTTACTACAACTGATGAAGAAAATAACTTTATTATGATTCGGTTGCGGGGGCAGAAACTATATTAACAGGCAAAAAGAAATGCCATGTATGGAAATAACGGGTAGAAAAGGCATTGAGAATGGTAGATTGAAAATAATTCTAGGTTTAGAATGTGGGGACAGTGAGGATAATTGGGGAAGGTGTCTTAGCAGAAGTGATTAAAGAGGAGAGAATTTTGAATTCATAGAAAAGATTTAAAAGTGTGAATCAACAGAAGAGCCCAGAGTAGTGCTGTCTAACAAGCTGTTTATGTAATTAAAACATTAAGAGCCATCTTAGAAAGGTAGAAATAAACAGGTGAAATTAATTTTAATAATACATTTTATTTAGCCCAATATATCCAATACTATTTTAGCATTACTCAATATAAAAAAATGTAAGGAGATATTTTATACTCTCCCTCCATGTTATCTTTGAAATCCCTGTGTATTCTACCTTTAGCGCATCTCAGCTCAGATTAGCCACGTTTCGGTGGTCGGTAGCCTCACGGGGGCAGTTGCGACGTGTATTCACTGACATAAGAGATCTAGAGAGTCGTGAGGACGGAGTCATGTGAAAGTGATAGGGAAAAGGAGCTTTGAGTTATGTGGTAACAGACTCTTTGCTGTATTAGGAATAAAGGAGAAAAGATAGCAGTAAACTCTAAATGACAGAAGGAAAAGAGAATTCTGCCTTGAAAGAGTCGGGCGGTGATGATTCCGTTGCATGTGAAGGTGCATGTGAGCTCCGCTGAGAGGCATCAAAACTGACTTGCAGATGTGCACTTGCTCCTCTCAGCAGCATTGTGTGCAGATGATCCTGTGCTGGGGACGACGGAAGGTCTGTCCATCTGGAGAAATGCAGGAGGAAACTTTAAACTGGGGGGCTTAGAGCCATGACTCAGGGAGAAAGGAGTTGGATTGCTTGAACAATTTTTTTTCTTTTTTTAAAGATTTTATTTATTTATTTGACAGAGAGATCACAAGTAGGCAGAGAGGCAGGCAGAGAGAGAGAAAGGGGAAGTAGGCTCCCTGCCGAGCAGAGAGCCTGATGCGGGGCTTGATCCCAGGATCCTGAGATCATGACTTGAGCAAAGGCAGAGAGGCTTAACCCACTGAGCCACCCAGGCATCCCAGGAGTTGGATTGCCTGAAAAAGACTTAAGAAGTGAAGAATGGGGGCACCTGGGTGGCTCAGTGGGTTAAAGCCTCTGCCTTCAACTTGGGTCATGATCCCACGGTCCTGGGATCGAGCCCTGCATTGGGCTCTCTGCTCAGCAGGGAGCCTCCCTTCCTCATTCTCTCTGCCTGCCTCTCTGCCTACTTGTGATCTCTGTCAAATAAATAAATAAAATCTTTTTTTTAAAAAGTGAAGAATGGTAGATAATCCATATATAATTGTTAGATGGATGGTAAAAATATAGTGAGATTGACATGAAAGATAATGCCCGTGTTGAGCATGGTGAAGAAAACATTTGGAAATAAAACATAGAGATGATATAGGAGAGAATATGATCAAACAAAATCAGGAGATGGCAGTGTAGTGAACATTATTTTAAAAACTAAAAAAAATTAGCTAACTTTTAATTATTTTGTCTTAGCAAGTGAGCCGGGGAGGGGGGCAGAGGGAAAGGGAGAGAATTTCAAGCAGACTCCCCGCTGAGCACAGAGCTTGACATGGGGCCCAGTCCCAGGACCCTGAGATCATGATCTGAGCTGAAACCAAGAGTCAGACACTTAACTGAGTCACACAGGCACCCCAAAACTGGCTAATTTCTGAGCAGTGATTGGCAATAATGATGGAAATCATGCAAGGAGACTAGGGAAACTTCCTAGGAGCACAATATTTGAGGGCTGATTACTGTAAGCAAAGCACCTGATTATAGCAGGAGACTATTTTAGATGCCCCACTGATTAATTTTTGATCAGGTGCCCATTTTGACTGTCCAGATATATTTACTGATGAGAAAGGGAAATAATAATGTGACATGAAATCAGAGACTTCT